TCCTTGAGGCCCCGAGTGTGAGCCGTCCACCGGTGTATACCCTGCACCTAAAATGTTCCCTATAAAGGGTGAGTCACACTCAATAGGATCTTAAAAAGACTACTCCCCAACCTAGATGCATATGAAATATCACATGTAATTTCAACAAGCCACAAAGCATTCCAATCAAGAATATATAACTAAATGTTGGAATTCACAATGTCATGTCATAAAATGAGATGAAACTCACTCATACAACTCAACCCAAGCCTTCACTAATGACTTCATCTGAATTGTGTACACCCAAGTGCAGGCAGTCAAGTTGTAGCAATAATCTGGTTGAATCCAGAGTCGAATCCTCAGAGAACTATGATTGGTGTTTTGAAGTGAGCAATAGTAAAGACCAAGTGACTGAGAACCTTGAGAGTTTGAAGTTGTGGGATTTCCTGAATAGAATATAAAATTCTTTTCAAGAGTTTTCAAGACAAAATATAAGATAAATTTAAATGTACAACAGTCACCCTTTAGCTCGAGGATCAGAACATGTAGTTAATCATCCGATTTATTATAGTTGTGCTAGATAACTCAATTAACTCTCGTGTCAACAGTAAGTTAATCAGAAGATAAAAATGGACTGTGAAAATTAAGCACATGATTCCAATACCTTTCTAGGAGTTGACAAGAATTGTTTGTGCTGAAATTTAACCATTCTACAAACAAGCAAGTATTTCTACAACGCATCTAACCATGGCATTAATGTTCCATTCTTGGGATAAAGCTCAATAACATTGAAGATTGAAATGTTGTCATGAAGATCTAGTCGGGGTGCTTACCTTGAACTAATGGGTCTTTCCATGCAAGAGTCATCTATGACATAGAAAGAACCCATAGTTATACAAAGTACCTTAGCTTTGCTAGATACATTCAATCATTCAATAAGTGAAATATAAAGCATTAAAGCATAAAGGAAACGCACAAATATAACTTCTGGATAATTTTTATATATTTATCACCTCTTATTAAAGAGTGAATGATGAACTACTCACTCTTCATGACTTGGATAAAGCTAGAAAAGTGAGTGATGCTCATCCCTCTAAGTAGAGAACTTACAAAATAAAGTACAATAAGCGAGGAGCCACTCTTCACCAAAGAATAAGTGAATCACGTTCCACCCTTCACGACTTTGGTAAAGCTCTAGAAAAGTGAAAGAATTTCACTCCTCCAAAGAAGAAGGAAGCTCAAGCAATGGAAGTGAAATAAAAGAACATTGAAAGTAAAAGAAAGCTAGTTACTCTTGGAGGGTGACTTCCTCAACCAAAAGATGGAGGGTTGCTTCCTCAACCAACAATTAGAGGGTTATTTCCTCAACCAAGAGATGTAACACAAGAAAATATGGCATACATCTAAGATTAATCAAAATGAGTGGAAGTCTAAGCCTCTATACAAACTCGTTACTAGTTCTTAGTGTAGTCTAAGCCTACAAACCAAGCTCTAGCTCCTTACTTTACAAGAGGAAGAATGCCCACTTAAGCTCCCTTAATGCGAGTATTTATAGGCAAGGAAAGGGGGGAACAAGAAGATAAGAAAGGATGAGTGAAGAGTGTATCCCACCCATGAAAACCAACTATTCTGCAAGCAGTCTGTGGAGGACGTTCGAACGTGAATCGACGTTCAAACATTGTCTTCTATTTTGCTTTAGGGGTGTTCGAACATTGTCTGACGTTCGAACGTGTCTTCTGGTCTTGCTTTAGGGGCGTTCGAACGGTCGATGGGATGTGACCACATCACTCAAGTGGTCTTGGTCTTCTGTGGAAACCCACTTCCACACTCCATGTAGGGCTTGGAGTTTTGCACTCATCACTTTGATCTTTCTTCAAGTCATGTGGACGTTCGAACAGTATTTGGCATTCGAACATAGTACTACAGTACTTCAGGGTCCTCCTTCTTGACTGCAACACGCCAGGTCTCAGCAGTCTGGTCTCCTCATAGTTCAAGTTGATGTTCGAACGTGAGTTGACGTTCAAACGTGGTTGCTTTGTTCCAACCTTCTCTAATTTTGTTCCCTAATGCACTAGTATCACACTCAAGTGTGATATTTGTTGTTCTTGAGCTTTTGTTCACTTTAGGTCCTGAAATGTCATCACTGAAACTACATCGAAGCACAATTAGTCCCGAAAAGGCAGAGGAAAATGCTAACTTTAAACACTAATCAACTAGCTCCCATCACTCATGCAATGCCATGAGTATAAAATCGGGCATTCCAAGCCCTTATCATTGATGTTGCACATCCGATGACCTTTTAAAAATCTCTGGGTCTTTCTTGGGATGGATATTTATGGACTTACACCAACGGCCCCCAGCCGACACGAAAATCATAGACTTCCACCAATGGTTCTGCGTACACCAACACACTTTATAGACTAAACCAAGGGAGTGCGTATCCTAAACACCAGGTCTCTCACATGAGAGATAGTCTAATCCTTCTTGCTAATCTCGACCTAATTTATCATGCAAACCGTGTAACTTAGTCAGGTCCTCGACCTAACTTTTTCGACCCCATCTATCATCCACCAAGTGTGGTATTATATGACAACCATGCACACACACCCACAAAATGCGATGTTTCCGTGTATATGTAATATAATGCATAATTGCAAAACAACAATCATGTCCAATATGCTATGATGTCCTATGGATCAATTTAACCACATAACAACATATTCCATGACAAATTATATCCCAAGCATATAATTATCATAATTCATCATAATGTCAATATATCAACAAACATATATTAACATTTTCATTCAACTACTATTTTTCAAAGCATGTTATACATAATCTATGCAATAACACACTTCATTTTACATAGACATTTAATCAAACACCTTCAAGACACCAAATTATGTAATCACATAAAATGTCCAAATTCATCACATAACTCAAGAATCACATTAAGTGGTTTCTACATGCCTAATTATCAAATCTTCCAAGAAATTACAAGCTAGAAATTTCTAATTATTAATTCATACTATAATTGAATTTAATCATTTTCATTAAATTAACTACAATAGGCAAGTGTTAAAATACATCTAAAAACCTACACATTTCATATAATCGTCCTAGGTTGAAAATAAACCTAGTTAGGGAGAAAACTCTACCTCTTAGAGCGTAATATGAGTAGTAGAAAACCTCCAAGAATACCTCTCAAGCTCTAACTTTGATTTTTCCAAGAATTTTTTTTTTGAATCTTCGGTGAGATACGTCCCTTTTTGGTATGGCTGCATAACCCTCATTGCGTGCATGAACTTTAATACTTGGCTTGAAGGATTCTGACCAACAGAACTCCGTAGATCGTAGAAAAAAGGTGAAGTTTTATATCTTTTTCCTCTCTTTCCTCTCTTCTCTTCCTACGTTAAAACCCCAACAAATATTTATGGAGAAAAATCTGATTTTTGTCTCCTATTTATACCCTTTAATGTTTGGTCCACGTCGTGCCACGCGTCCCTATTCCCAGGTCAGTTTTCATCCCGAAATGATTAAATTTTATCCCGATTTAAGTTCAAAATATTTTTATATAAACTTCCTTTAGATTATTTTAAAATTTTTAAAATTTTATTTTTAGGGTCATTTTTGTGATCACCGATACCCTGTTGCCTCGTAAAACATGAAAAATTTGACTATCTCGGAATCTGACGAAAAATTATAGGGTAAATAGATTTCGCGAAACGAATCTAACAGTGACCTCCGTTTCATCACCTGAGTTCTAGAAAAATACAGGTTTTCAATCCACACCGAAGTGACAAATTACCGTTTTACCCATTTTCACAAAAAATCAAATTTATCCTAGGTTTTCACACGTAACCCACGAGACATCACAAACATCAATACTAAGTTTATGTCACCTCAATATCACCCAAACTATTAGAATACCACGACATCAACCCTAAGACCCCAAAATCATGAAGAAGCACCATCAACACAGAACATATGGTAATTTTTGAGATTCAAACAATTTGGAAACAACTTAATCTCCGATTTGATTTCACACCAACTTTAAATTTTTCTTTGTGGATCTAAACACTTTATTAAAAAAATTTCAAAATTATGTCCTTAATTTACGCAGGACGAAACAATCTTGACACCAAATCGTACTCACATGATAAGGGAGTCTTCTTCAACATGAACATCAACTTGATCATTGAATCGCCAATACCTTACTTTGATTATTGCACTAGGATCATCAATCTAGTTCTGATTGTTCTACTCGGATCATCAATCTAGCTCTTATATTACTTGTTAATTTTGCACAATAGATAATTAATACAAATAATACTTGTTGTAAGATAGGAATTCAAAGATAATAAAACAATAAAAATATAACATGGTCCGATACAATATAACCACCTTGATACACCGTATCTACATCCACGGACCAAAAACCTATCGATATATTATTTATTGAAATCTGATCATTTGGTAATTAATTACATAATACTCATCTCTATTTATAAGGATAAAATATTTTAACACATACTTATTCATATACAACTTGATCTTTATGTTTCATATCACATGTCTAATATACCTTTTTATGGTATAGTAGAACTCTGTCAATTTATTTCCTACTTGACTAGGTCAGTAATAGAACTATCAATGGTTTATTACAATTGTCCAATACATTTCTTATTTTATTTAGGATTCTCACAATGGGGTAAGTGAGGTAAGTACGATTAAAAATGGAATTCCACCAAGGGCAGGAGCTTCTCAGCACCTTTCTACGCTTTCCATTAGTTTCAAAAATTTGTCCAAAACCATGCAAAACTTGTCCCAAATTATCGTTATTGTCACAAAATTGCATTTACACTTTTTAAAAAAAAAATTAAAGCACCATATAAACCTTTCTGCCATTGACAGCCCAAAAAGAAAAAAATTATTCATAGTTTTTTATAGTATTTTTTTATGCACATTATTTGGCCCTTTTTCGGGCTACATACAAGCATAGTATTATAGTTACCCCTAATGGTTTTTTCCTTAATCATAGAATATGCCTACACTTCCACACAGCAAATTTCATGCCAAATAGTGAAATTTTTTTTTTTCGAACTGTGAAATATGAAAATGTCCAAAAAAGAAGAAAAGAAATAAAGTTTTTTAGCATCTCCAGATATTCTAACTTCAGAGAAGAAGAGATCTACATCAACCTGGGTGAAACTATCATTCTCAAAGGTCTTCGTTCTCATTATTTTCTGTATAAACCGAAACCTCCCACTCCTTTCCCTGAATGCAACCATACTTTCTAAGGAAATACACTACTACTCTAATAACATTCCCAATCAACACAACAGCCATCAGCGAAAGCCACCCCATAACCGAAATCCTAGTCACATGAAACAGCGTACCCTCAACATGTGACGGCGTCAACTGAAGAAATGCAATGAAGTACGTTCCAGTCTGTGCAGTAATGGCAATCCAAGTAGTCACCATCTGCGTCCACATCCACCGCCGTCTCCTCAGTGGCAAACCGCTGATTTGCAGTAGAATTATGCTCAGTGACGCCAGAAAAGCAATGGCGTTGAAGATCATGAACTGCCCATATGCTTTGGGATTGTTGTAGGCCATTATGGATTGACCCACTTCATGTGGTTTGTCCACCGTGTTTCCATTTGTGTCTACCAATTCGTCGTTCTGCCATAAACCGCCTGGTGGGGATAGGCCAGCTTGGAAGGCGACAGTAGCGAGAAGTGATGCTACAATCATTAGTGCACTTCTTTTTCTGCCCAGCCAGTCTGTCTGTCTCTGTTCCTTAGGCTGCTGTTTAGTACTTTTGTTGATGGTGTCTTGGGGTTTTGATCTTGAAGTCGAAGAAGGCCTTCTTGTATCTCCATCTGCTATGACTGATGGTGTTTTCTCCATTGTTGAAGTTCTGCCATGGTGAAGACAGTGTTTGATTTCCATGTCTCTCAGGTCTCTGGGACCTTGTGATAAGATGTCTATTGCTGTGGAACCCTTTGCATTTCTTGTGTTTATCTCTATCCCAGTGTAAATGAGCAGAAACTTAATGATCTGCATAGAAATTTAATGATCACCAACAGCATCAGCGATCATTTTATATTAAGTGATCATCTGATTGCGTTTCATTTCCAAATTAAGATCAATACTGAAAATTAAAGGCAGCTAATTTCATTCGGGCCTTAAATCAAACAGAGGGGCATTTCAATTAGTAACATAAGGCTTTAATTCTAGGTAGTTTAGTAGTTCCTTAACCACTAAATATGATTTCAAATGGCCCAATCTATTGTCCAGAATAAGTTCTTCTAGTATCAAAATTCAAATCAATTTCTCATCCTAACATTAGTCAAGAAAACTGTCACCTAGGTGACAAGGGCCCACTTAGAATTGATTAAGCCAGAGTCAGAACAACATCAAAGCAGGGGACCTTGGATGAATATGTTGAGAATTCTAAGAGTTGATTCATGTGAGGGATTTAATTTGTTGCTTAAGATTTGGGTTGATTGATAGATGTCTGTCAATTTTGGAATTTCAATCAGATTTGTGCATCCGAAATGATTATTAAATGATCTTATTGACAACTTCTTGAAAATCATGGGCCGATTACGTTATTTTTTAATGTGGCTCCTTTTTTTTTATTCAATGAGAAACTGGCAAGTATAAATTTTTTATTTTATTTTACTTTACTTTATTATTTTTATGGTCAAAATGAATCAAAATAAGATCTAATTAGTTCCTGAGGATTGTTTCTTTAAGTGTTATCACCAAACCATACATAATCATGATTACTCTCGGAAGCCTATACCATACAACAGAAATGAAGATTTCAAGATTTTATCTTGAAAGAAGTGGCGATGAGAACATACCTCGACCTGTTTATTGGCCACAGCAAGATGTAATATGGTGCTACCATTTTCATCCTTCCAATTAACAAACTGATCATCTTTCTTTAGGCTTTCCACCAAAACCTTCAAAGCCTCCAAACGATTATATTTCACACACAAATGCAAACAAGTCTCTCCCCAACGGGTCAACTTCCGAGTCGCCTCCGGTTTAACCCGGATCAACTCGGTCAATACCCCAACTCGTCCTTTGATCGCAGCCAGATGTAGAGGAGTCCTCCCACTATGATCCAACACAAAACCCATATCAGGATTTACCACCAACAGTTCTTTCACTATCTCCACGTACCCTTTTGCCGCTGCCACGTGAAGCGCGGATGAACCGTCTGAGTTCAACGCTTTGACCAACTCGGGCTTTCGACTCAGTAGTTCTTTAGTGAATTCGAGGTGACCCAGAAGAGCTGAAACGTGCAACGGTGAATCGGAGATTGAGGATGGTGTGGCTCTGTTGAAGATCAGAGGGTCTTCATGAAGAAGGCTTAGGAGAGATGTTACAGTGCCCTTCATGGCTGCTTCATAGAGTTTAAACTCTCTTGCTTTCTCCTTTTGTAACTCTTCTTCTTTCTCTTCATCCAGTAAACTGAGAAGCCTCATTTTCTCTCTCTTTTTCTCAATTTCTCTTTCTTTATCTGAAATTGATTTGGTCTGTATAGAAGTGAAGATGGTATGCATAATGTGGGGAACACAGAAGAGGATGTTACCACTTACCAGGGGTAGACAGAAGAACCAACGCGGTTTTGTGCGCCTCTATTAACCTTGGTTATCTTTTAGAACGGGGCCCCCAAATTAGACTGCAAAACTTGCAAGTTTTCGTCAAGTCAAAACACCATCCGAAGGTTCCATGCGATTATTGACTTTGTGATCTTTGTTGATCCGGAATCGGCGTAAATGATGTGTGATACTCAAGTTGTCGTATATGAAATGTAATAAGGTAAGATGAACTTACCGAGGTCTGAAATGGGTGAGCATAGTGTCGAGTCTACCTTCTACTAATTCAGAGTTATCAGGTTTAATACATTTTATATTTTTTAAAGGTTAGATATTTTTGTTTCTCAGGGTACATGTTCAAAATTCGCTCTTATTATAATGATTAGTATTCAAGTTCAAAAGAGTACTTAACGCAAATCTAGACATCTTATTACAAAAGAAAATATTTACTGAAATTTTTGATAATTTTAATAAGCCCAATTGCTTAATAAGAATTGTTAAAAAAATTTGATCAAAATTAGAATTTGAGACCATATCCTTAAAGACAGATTTCAACCCTACTCCAATGCTTATGGATTAATGAATATTTGCCTCCCAAGATAAAATGATCAACGCAAACCAAAACAAATATTGTAATATGTATGCAAAGTGAATTAGAAGTATTCTTTGACCTGAACACTATAATGATTTATGTAATGACTGTTAATGATGAATTTTTTTTTTTATATTATAACACAAAAATGAACTTGGATGATTTATAGATGTAGAGGTGACTATTTAGAACAACCACCATTGATAAGATGCAGCCAAAAAAGGCACTAGAGATGCCCATTGATGAAGGTCGAGTTTCAAATTTGATTGAATAATTGAGTTGTTTTGAATAGTTGAGACTAATTGGAAATACTATCATTTGAATTGTTGTGATTATTAGGAAAAGACACTATATGAAGAGATGTGACAATTTAGGAAAAATATCTACTTAGAAGGATTGTGACTTTCAATAAAAGACACCATTTTAGAAAGGTCATGACTTTTAAGAAAATATACATATTTGGAGGGTTATGACTTTCAGGAAAAGACACAAAAAAAATCTATAAATAGGATCCTAGACTTCATTCAAAACCACACTAATAGTTCTATATAACTCATCTCTATTCCCCCTTCTCTTTCTCTTAGAATTAAAACTGTTGAATGAGATTTCTTTGGAAGTTCTTCAATATTTTTAATTGTAGTTCTTTACCCCATATGATTTGTATCATGCAAGTGATTTTTCAGGAACCCTTTAGTAAACTCTCCGAGTGGGACAAATATCACTTTAAAGAAAGTGATCTGACGCACCTCAAAGTCTCAATTCATTATATATGTCAATCTGTTCTAACACAATTTTCTAACAATTTTAAAGTGATATTCGCAATGACTGTTGAATCAAAGAGCTACGTTCAAAGTCATGAATAAATGCTTTGTGAAATTGGATTTTTTTGATGGAACAAATTTCACTCACTTGAAGGACAAGTTGAGTTTTCTTCTCACTTGCACTAAAGATTACTTATGTATTGGATCCAAATCTACAACCAATTCCCAAAGAAAAAGAAAAAGACATTGATCAGGTTAAGGAAAATCGAAGATGAATTTGTCTGTCGAGACCATATTATGAACACACCGTCTGATTGATTCTATGATCTCTATGTATCGTTGAAGTCTCCATACGAAATGTGGAATGCACTAGAGCATAAATATATGTCGGAAAAGCAAGTTATGAATAAATTTCTGATTATCAAATATTATGGATCTAGTGCATGAATTGCAAGTTTTGGTTAATAGACTCCATGATGTTAAGGTTACAACTCCTGAGCCAATTATAGTGGGGGCAATTGTTGCCAAACTTCCTCTTACTTGGAATGATTATAGGAATAAATTTCTATATATGACAAAAGATTTCAATGTAGAATATGTTAGATCACATATTGTAATTGGTTAATTTTTTGGAATCCATTGTAAATCTCAACTTTTTCCCATAGGCATGATGCTATCAAGTTGAAGACCCGAAAGAGTTATTGAAGGAGGAGATCAAGCATCAAAACAACATCATTTAAACTCTATATGCATCTTCATGCTTGGGACAAAGTTAATGATCTAGATACCTAAGATGAACCCTTAATTATTTTAACTTATGATGATTATGATAAAAAAATGGAGTTGGAAGCAACACAAGTATGGCTCCTAGATGTTTTGAAAAAAGAAGTTTTTCTAAATAATTTTGTGTTCTAAAAACATAGAATGAACCATTATCTGAACCCTCTTTAGTAACACCCTTCAGTGCTAAAGAGAACAAGTTTTTTGCTTTGTTTTATTCTTTAAAAATTGGTAGAAATCAATCTATACTTGCTAGCCTTCGCTAGAGCAGAATCTTTATGAATAAGGGAATAAAATGGGAAAAGACCATGGAGGAGTGCAGAGCTCACTCTATGAGCTTGCTCAAGCGGTCCTTCACGGTTGCTCGAGTGGTGCTCATGGTCGCTTGAGTGGTCAGTGATCCTAGTCAGGATTAAAATGTGATTTTCATTCTAGTGCCTATCGCCCTATGACCGTCATTTCATCGATCGAGTGGTCATTTGTGAATCTGAGATTTCTTGTTTACTAAGACTACCTTTATTCCGAACCTATAAATAGGGAGAGCCTCTCTCACAGTTAGGTTAAGCCTGTTGTGAGATTTTTAAGAGAAAATATATCTTATACCTAGAGGGCTTCCACCATTTACCTAAATTTCTAATATTCAAGGCTACCACTAGAGATTTTACCCAATCTCACAAATTGAAGTTGAAGATGTTGATGGTTTGACAAACCCATTGGTATGTGAATAATGAGAATCATTGGCATGCCTATTAGTGCTCGAGGTCTAGATGAACCGTGTGGTGGGGAGTCCAAGTGAAGTTGTGCAAGACATCGAATGAGGGCCTTCGGTAGAGAGACAACAAGGAAAGGAGCATATAGTCATTGTATTAGTTGAGGTATAAGACTCTAGTACTTGTATGTGACTTTGTGAATAGTGAATTAGGCTTTGGTGAACCGAGAAGGTTTCTCATGATTTTTTTTCCGATAAGAGTTTCTGCGTTAACAAATCACTTGTGCTATTTATTGCTTTTACATATACATTTGTGATTTTATGTACACATAGGCACTATATTTTTGATGAATTGATTGTTTGAATCTACATATTACATATAGTTGCTTGATTGGGTTTGGATTGCCTTGGTTGGGATCATTGTGTGAGATTGAGTGTTAATTAACAAATTGATAAAATCAATACACTAATCTATATGGAATTTTGTGTTGTAGTTTTTGAAAAGGGTTCTCACACTTAACTTATATACTATTGTGTGACGAGATAATTGTGGTAGATTTAGGTTTTAATTGGTGGCAATCTTAGCTTAAATTTTAATTAACCTATTCACTCATTCCTTGTGTATAATTGAGTAAAAAGATCCCAAGTATAAAGTGTTGTATTTTTTCCCCACATAATAGATTTAAAAGCACTTGAGGATTGAAAAAGAAAATAGAAAACGTGATGTTGTGTATTTGAGTTCTAAAGTGAACAATCCGTCTGAAAACAAGTTTAACAAAAATTAGAAATTTCAGAAAGATCTCAAAGTGAAGAAGGGTTATAGTTTTAAGAATATTAACAATTCCAACAAGAAGAATGTCTCATGTTTTCATTGTGGAAAGAAAGTCACTATATTTGTGAATGCAGATACCTTACGAATGAAAAGAAGGGCAATTTAAATTCTAAAAATACTGTAAACATGATAGAAGAAGAGAGCAAAGACCTCATTGGGAAGGTCTCGAATGTGAAAATTGGTATGATTATAGAAGTGCACATGACAACATTCAACTAATTTGATGATTGGTGGCTTGACCCTATGGCTACAGTCCATGTTTGCAATGACAAAGGTCAATTTAAGATGATCAACAAGTGCTAATGGGAAATCATAATCCTGCTTTTCATGCTTGGAAAAGGGACTGTTGAACTTCAATTCACTTCTAGGAAGAAACTAACTTTGACCAATGTTCTGCATGTACCCGAAATTATGAAAAATCTTATATCTACTAATCTATTATGTAAGAAAGGCTTTAGGACTATTTTAGAGTTTGATTAGATGATCCTTTCTAAGAGTTAGAACATTGCTGGAAAGGGTTATTCGAGTGTTCAAACTCAATCTTGATAGTATTAGTCCAAAGTCTCCATATTTTGGTTGTATTCCTATATGGTATGCTAGATTAGCACATTTAAATTACAATTATTTAAATCATATGTGGAAGGATGGATATATCTCTTTTAAGCACAAATAAAATGATGTGTGAAATATCCATTTAAGCCAAAATTACAAATAAGCCTTTTCCTAAGGCAGAAAGAAATACACAAATATTGGAATTAGTACATTCTTATATTTGTGAATCAAATGGAGTTCTAACAAGAGGTGGTAAATGGTACTTTATAACATTTATAGATGGCTATTCGAGATATACGTATGTGTACTTAATGCAAATCAAAGATTAAGCATTTAATTTATTTAAATGTTATAAAGCGAAAGTTGAAAATCAAAAGGAAAAAAATAAATAAAGATCCTCCACAGTGATACGAGTGGGGAATACTTCCCAAAAGAATTTTCTATATATTGTGAAGAGCATGATATCATAAACCAAAGATTAGCACCGTACGCACCTCAACAGAATGGTTTAGTTGAAAAGGAAAATTAGGACACTGGTTGATATGATTAATGCAATGATTTTGTCTGCAAAATTACCTTTGAATTTATGGGATGAACCATTATTTGATGCATGTCATTTACTGTAACGCCCCCAATCTCATAATTAAACACTAAATATCTATAATCATCAAACCACGAGAACATACTAAAAAAATCAAAAAATAAATCAAATATTCATCATTCCATATCTAGCTAACTAAAATCCCCAAAATCAAACAGAAATAAATCATTAAGGTTACCTCCAATCAAAATAAAATTCACCAACACTAATTAAATAACATGCATAATA